TCCGCGCCCTCCGCGCTGCGTGGGGCGGGGCGGGGTGTCCGCAGCCCCTAGCACCCGGCGACCTTGGCGTGTCCCGCTTGGGAGCGCAGTGCACGGCCGCACCATGGGGTTGGACAGCCTGGAGGTGATCTTTGACCGCGTGGGGCACTTCGGCAGGTAGGGGAGTGGGGGAGCGAGGTGGGGAGGGAGGACGGCCTAAGGGGAGCGGGAGTCACGTGGGTGGACGCGCCGGTGGGGTCTGTTTCTTTCCGTTGCGCTCGCGCTCCGAAAATACCTCCACCCTAAGTGTCCCAGGGAAGTCCAGAGACCCGCGTCCAGACTCCTGGACCTGAGCTGGGCTTGTCCTCTGGGACCCTGGCGGCGGGACCTTCCCATAGCGAGCAGTGGGGTGCTAGGGGCTCGCTGCGGGAATGGTGGGTGCGGGGCCGGTTCGACCTGGGGCGCGCCTTCTGCGGGAGCGGGAGTGGGAGTTGGGAGGCCCCGCCGGAGAGGCTGGGTTGTACGAATAGAGGAGGGCTTGTCCCTGGCCACCCGTTTCTCTAATCTGTCAAACCATCTCCTTTTTCACGTCCCCAGACGACTGTCCCGCCGTCCCCTGGAGTCTCTCTCAGTGCCTGGCAGATATTGCCACAGGAACAACCGTTAGTCGGAGTTTGTTCCATTTATAGATACGTCGTAGGAAGTGCCAGCTGCACTGTGCCAAGTGGTACACAGTGCACACAGTGCTCCATTTGATGACCACTGGGATCTTGCAAAGGAGGTGTTCGAATCTTTAATGATTGGGAAACTGAAGCTGGTAGGGCCAAAGACCCACAGCTACCTCATGGTGGGACCTAGGCTTAACCTTTGTACACTTGGCACCCTCTTTTCATTTGTTAAATTAATAATAATAATAATAAAAAAAAGGTATTCCTTCGTTCATGGAGAAACGCTTCTCCGATCCTGTTTTGGGAGGAGAGGAAGCTGGGTGAGGGGCCTACAGCATGTGGATCAGAGGTTTGTAGCTGAATCTGAATCCTGGCCTGCTCTGTACCTCTAACGCGATTCTGGGAATACTGTGCCTCAGTTTCCTATCCACGAAATGGGAGTCATCATAATACCTGCCTTACCACCCTCTCCCAGGTGTGTAGTGAAGAAATGGTGTGTTGCTGCTCTTCAAGGTGGAACGTTGCACAGATTTTGGTTATAATTCCCAGCGTCTGCAAAAAGGAAGCTACTGAGCAGGTGGGATACCTGCATTATTGAATGTGGAGTTGTGCCCAGCTCTGTCATCAGCTCTTTGTACATCGTACCTTCTTTAACCTTTACTACAGCCCTATGAGATTGGTAGTATCATTCTCATTTGATCCATTGAGAAAACTGGGGCTTGTGCCTGAATCACAAATCTAGTCATAGAGCAGAATTGAATGTCATTGGATGGCCATCGGTTTTCACTGCTCTCCACCATGATGCTATCCTGAGCACAATTAGGTACCAATTCTGGGACTCGGCCAGGTCCTTTATATATTAGCTCATTTTAGCTTTCTAAGTTCCGGTCCTGGCTCTATCATGTATTAACTATATGGTCGTGAGCATTTTACTTAACCACTTCCTCATCTGTACAATGGGGGTAAGAATAGTACCATAAATGTTTATTAAAGGATTCCCCATGCAGCCTCTCATTTCATCCTCACAGTAACCCTATGAAGTAGGAGGTACTAACACTATTCTTAACCCCATGTATTTTGGGATTAATTAAGGTAATTATATTGGTTGGTGTTTGGCTGAGGTGCTATAAAGAGTTCCCTCAACTGGAAGTTTGTTCCTCTCCAGTCACTGTTGACGGCAGGTTCTATTCCATGGGGTTATCCGGGGACCCAAGTGGGTGAGGCAGCTCTGCCATCCACAGTATGGGGGTCCCTCACTGTGCCTGGGGCAGTTGCTCCCATTTTCCTCTCCCATATGATCAGTTGTAGCTCACCATGGTGGAAGAAAAAGAGAACGGATTTTGGGGGACAACTCTTGGCTGGCCACAATAATGTATGCAAAAGTCTTACTATTCAGTAAGTTCTCAAGAAATCATGGCTATTATTGTTAACCAAGTCCCCATCCTGGTGGGAAGGGTTGATTATGCAAGCAGCTTGTAGGAAAGAAAAGGGTAACAAGCCAAAGCTTACAGCAGAGGGTTTGAAAACAGTGACTGTAATATGGTACCCCATATTTTTCTCTAGTATTTGCTCTAATTGGTCTCCTTATTGTTTATAAATAGAGAGGTTATTTGTGTATTATTAGTCTTCTTTTAATGAGACCTACTGAAAGTGTTAATCCCTAATTATCTCTCATTTCTCAGTCATTTCTAGGGCGAGAAAACACTATCCTTATCACCTTTAAGAGTGGAAAGCAGGACACCTAAGAAGAATAAAAAAGCAGTTCCAAGACTTGTCTTGAAACCATATTGAAGTTTCATGTACTTCACAGCTTGAGCTCTGTGTGAGAGGGAATTGAGGAAATAGATTCAGGCATCTGTGTTAGGGGACCTAAGAACCTGGATCCCTGAGTTGTTCTGAGATAAGGGGAGAGAGGGTTTAAAATGTCAGACTTGGATTGTGGAGCCTGTAGCTAACTTATATCTGTGATATAGGTAGTGTTTTCTTTAACATATGAACCTTTTTTGGCTCTTCTTTTTTGATGTCACGTTATGAACATCACAATAGCTAACACTTATATGCACCTACAATGTGCCATAATGCTTTATATGTATTAAGTCCGTTCCCACAATCACCCATTTTTCAGATTAGGAAACGGAGGCATAGCAAAGTTAAGGACCTTGCCCAAGGCCCCAGATGGTAAGTAACAGAGTCAAGATTCCAATCTTGGCAATCTGGATCTGGAGTTCATGATCTTAAACCACAGTGGAGTACTATGCTTCTTTATTCAGAATAATATAAATCAAGCACTAAAACCCATCACCTAGATTGCGTAGGTCCATTTCCAGTGGGTTCTGGTCATCTTTGCTTTTCCTTGCATCTGGATTTTCTGCCTATTGTGTCTCTATGATTCTTTTTCCATTAATGTGTCTCTCCAGCTATAGGCACAGTGCTGTGTTGTATCTATAAGTCCATTGTCCTGGAAGGACCTTAGGTTGGGCACATGGATGGCACCTAATGGACAACAGTCTTTTTAAGGTAGAGAGTGATATGTTAGAATGCTAGACACCCAAGGAAGATTTTGTTTTTCCAAAAAGTTATCCATGCAAAAGGGAAAAGAAAGTTTAAATTGAAAGTATGCTCAGGATCATTCCAGCACATAGAATACATACTTCTGTGAACTAGCATGGCTTTTGGGGACTGCTAAGTGGCTTATTATTTGTGGAGTCCAAAGTGTGAGGGTGTGAGGTAAGCTTATAGTCATTCCCAGGAATATTTTCGTATGTCATGCTAAGGAGTTTGGGTGTTAGGAAGATCACTATGCAGAATGGAAGGTGCATTGGAAGGGCAGGAGTTGGGGAAGGAGACCAGAGAAGACTCAGGTAAGAGCACAGATGGATGATAGTGAGGGTCTGGGCCAAGGCAAGGGGAGTGTGAGCACGGAGAACAGGACCGTTTTAACAGGTAGAATACACGGGACCTCCTGGCCCTAAGGCATGAAGGAGAAGTGGGAAGGACCATGCGGGCACTCCCACCTCATGCCCCGTGCCACATATTTCTGGTTTGTGTGGGTGATGGTGTCCTAAACCCAGAAACAGTTATATTCTAATGGGGCCAGGTTGGGGGCTTGAGATGGTTCGAGTCTCTAACTTGAGTTCCTGTGGGCATTGCAGGTCGAGACCTCCAGTAGCCATTTGGGTAAATAATGTATTGTTCAGGCAAGCCGCCTCCTGTCAGTATAGATTAGGTGGCCATTACAGGCTGAAATCCAGCTGGTAGGCACCATGTGGACAGACTGGGTATGCCTTAGCACCCATTCTAATCATGCCTCTGCTGGGGCATTGCAGAATACTTTGCCCTCTCCCTGAGTTTTACAGATATAAAACTTTTAAACTGATATATTACCTATGTACGGAAGAGTATGCACCATAATCTACAACCTGATGAATCATCATAAAGGGAGCATACCCGTGTTACCACCACCCATGTCACCCTTTCTCATGCCCTCTCCCAGGCACTCTCCCTCCCTCTTTCCCCCAATTCACTATTCTCACATCTGACACCATAGATTGTTTCGCCTGATTCTAAACTTTACATAAATGGAGTAAAAAAATCACATATTCTCTGTCTGGCTTCTTTTGTTCAACGTTGTGTTTGTAAGATTCACTCATATTGTATGTCATAGTAGTTGATTTTCATTGCTATATAGTATGTCATGACACGAATATTCCACAGTTTATTCATTTACTGTCAACAGATATTTAGGTTGTCTTCATGTTGGGCTTATTATGAATAGGCTTTCTTGTATGTGTCTTTTGGGGTGCTTGTGTACACATTTTGTTGGGTATATACCTAGGAGAGGAATTTGTTGCCAAGTGTGCATGTGGTCGGCTGCCAGACAGTTTTGCTAAGTGGTTGTAACAAATTAAACCCTCACAAGCTGTTTATGAGAGTTCCAGTTGCCCCATAACAATTGTTAAATATTTTGAATGTCAAACTTTGTATAAGCATAGAGTTAAACCAGAGAATCTGATTTCCTGGAGCAGTTTCTTAACCATAGCAGAATCTCCTAGGAAGTTTTTTAAGCTTATATAGCATTCTGGACCCTACCTCAGACCTGAACCACAATCACTAGTTGGGGGGTGGGGTGGGGCAGAGAAGACAAATCCTAGTTTCAGAGGCCTGCCAGGATGGGTGCTCTGTTGAGAAGTGTGTGTGTGGTCAGAGAATGTGAATAGAGAACTGGAGAATAGTTCCAGTGATGACTGTGGGGTTCAGGCTGGCTGGGGAAGGAACTGAGGCCAGGAAGGTGGCGAGCAACTAGAGAAGCTGGTGGGATCCAAAGACTGGACACCTGGATGGTTCTGGAAATGGAGGCGGTGGGATGGATGGTAGCGGGGGAGCTGGTAGGGTGGGAGGTCATGGTCGGAGAGCAGAATGTGAGCCTTTCCGTGGTGAGGCTGCTCCAGGTGGTGAGACCACTGAGGTACCAAACCCAAGCCCCTTCAGGGACAGGTAGGTAAACTTGAG